ACTCTCCGCCCTTCGCCACCTTCCTGGTCGGCCCCACACTCCTCACGCACGTACTCTCAGTCCCACACCCCGGGGTTGGCCGATCCTCCTTCCCACCCCGCCCCTAGGCTCCTTAAGCCTGCGAGCGGCCCTTCCCCCAACCGCGCCAAGACCGACACTGAGCAAGGCCAATCAACGCTCGGAGCCGGCCAGCATTCAGCCAATAAGAGTTCCGCAGAGGGGTGGGCTCAGACAAACGCCAGTCGGCGGAGGGAGGAAAGAGAGGCTGAAGACTGGTTGACGGACAGGAATATCAGCGAATCAGAGCAAAACCTACTGGCAAAGGGTGGCTCTAAGCGTTACTGAGCAGGCGCACGCAGGAGTGTGGGGCAACTCATTTGCATAAAGAGTCGGAGTCTAAGGAAGAGGCCGGACGCTAAAGTCCCATATACCAGTCAGCGCCCTGCTCTGCTTTAACCCCTCCTACTATCCCACCCACCAAGGTAACGGCTGGGGAGGGGGGTGGCTAGAGGGGGTGGTGTCGGGATTGGCTAATGGGTAGACTAGCCATCCTGCGGTTATGTCATGATTGGTCTAATGATTCATTTTCGAAGTTTGCAGCAGCCAATCCAAAGGTTAGGGGCGGGGTTATCAGTTAACTGATGTGTTGCTCCGCAGAACGCCTAGCTAGTCCCCAGGACACCATTTTGCCGCAGATGTGTCTCGCTAGGGGATCATTCAGGGCTGGCAGTAGTTCTCCCGGGATACACGAAGGTCTCCCTGCGGCGTCCGAGAGCGTGACGGTGAGGACTGGAGGGAGCGGGATGCTCTCTCTCACGTAGGCTGCGAATCGCAGAGATCCCTCCGCGGGGGCGTGGCCTCAGTTTGAATTTGCTGGCGGGTAGTGAGGCTAGTTCGCTTCTCCAGGACGTGGTGTGTCCAGGCGTGCGGCGGCCTGCAGGAGGCCCACCCGGGTCATTTCTTGAGCCTGTCTCTGGTGCTTTCTGAAGTGAATCCTGCGTGACGCTTGTCGTCGTCGTCTGTGGGAACCTGCGGGCCTCGGGCGGGAGAGGTACGTCTGTTATCCGACCGGGATCAAAGGATGAAAAGCCCCAACTTGTCAGTATTGTGTAGTCAATAGCACTTCTTCCACCAGAACGCCCCGAATTCTTTCCCAAGGTGTACCCCTAGTACGGATTTCGTTAGAGTTCCGTCGCATTTTTTTTTTACATGTAGTGGGATTATTTCTCACTTTTTATTCTTGTCTTTAACTCCCCCATCTCCAGATGGATGCAAGTTCACACGACAAGCAGCCCTCTGAAGCCAGGGAGTGTGTCGTTAATAATTCTGGTACGTTGGTGACTTGTTACCCTCGTTAGATGGAAGATTTGAGTGTCTGCCTTGATTGTGTTCCTTAGCCCTACAATGTGTTGCCCATTTTTTAGGAAATGCCTCTTTTATCTTGGGAACCGGAAAGTCTGTGACGCCTCAGAAGCGTGTAGAAGACGCGACTCCTAATCTTTGCACCCCCGTTACGGTTAAGTCACCTTTGAACTTCTCCACGATAACCGTAGAGCAGTTGGGAATCACCCCTGAAAGCTTTGTTAAGACCCCTTCAGGTAAGAGGAGTTCTAGTATTGCATTTTTTTCAAGTTTAAAAATAGCTATACTAGGCCCCATTGCACATGTCTATACTGACTGACTTTCTTGCTGTATGTGTCTATACCGGCCCTGCAGACTTGTTTGTTTGTGGAGACTTCTGTGCCATCACAGTTCACTATATACAGAGGGGACCAAAGTGGTCTAGAACTCCCAAAAAGACAGTGTTCCTGAGCCCACCCTAGAAAACACTGGATACAAACATGAGGAAGTTGAAAGGCAGTTAAGAAAGGATAACCCTGACAGGTTATGTACCTCATTCAAAACTCACAGACAGAAAATTGACCCAGAGGCTGATTTCCTTCAACCTCAGAAATGAAGTTCACATGTCAGATCTGACCTAGATGGATAAAGAAGTACGGGAATGGAGGTCTTAGAGTAATAGAACAGCAATCATAGAGAAGGATAATGAGGCACTGGAGGAGCCAGTCACACCATACTGTGTGAGGCGTAAATTAGGCTAAGCCAGTGTGGCACTCTGCATTCAGAATTATTGCGTAAGTGACTAGATTCATTTTTGTGTGCTTTAGGTGCATGAGCAAAATTCAGGATGATATGCTGAAGGTTAAGCAGCTTATCTCAGAGTAAAAGGATTATTTTGAAAAACTAAGAGCAGAATACAGGAGTCTCACCAACCCTGCCCACATAGGGGCTGTCTCCCAAGAGTCCTAGTAAATTTTTAGAACTGGAGATCACAAAGCTTACAGATACTGACTTTTGCTATGCAAACATATGTACCAATGATTGTGCTTCATTTATAAATTAGCCACAGTAAGAGAGAGATGTGGCCTACTCATCTGTGAGTAGGCTCTCAGAAACATGCCCTAATCGAGCTAGTTAGTTTAGAATCAAACTTGACCGCCACAAAGTGTTCTTTCTCTGCTTAGATACCTGCTGTCACTTAAAAGAAGCACTCATAGCTGAGTTGCTGGCATCATTGCTCCTGAGACTGGGTTAGCCACAGTAAAGTACTGCTTACTCCTGCGAACCTGACTGGCTTATAGCCCAGATAGCCAGTGAGTGGCCTTAGGTATGTAATATGTTCAGCACAGGCGCTACATTCAGAAGGATCATGGACATTCTGGGCCAGATGTTGTTAGACAGTGGATTTTGTTCTGCTCGGAATGGCATGTTATTTTAATTTGTGAATTGCTTTCCACTGGCCCCATGCATTGTTTTCCGTTTGGATGACCACAGTAGATGAAACCACAGTGCACTATGGTATAGGTGCATGGTTTATGTTATAAACAAGAAGAGATTCTTAGCATCAAGTTGTTACCCCTGCCCTCTCTGTGTATTGGGGATATAGGACACAAATGAAAACTAAAAGAGTATTCATAGTCTTCTGTGTGCCAAGTGCTGATCTTGAAAGGTGAATTGAATCAGTAGTCAAGTGAAAGTCTCTATCCAACTGTTTATACATGAGCTATTTTGCTGGTAATTGTTTAGTTTCCTGTAACATATATTTACTCTGTTTTTTCCCTCTTGGTGGCCCATCACTCACCTAGGACACGATTACTGACCATTGCAATTTTTCATTGATTTGTGAGGGCTTTTTGTTGCAGGAAAGTCAGCTTCCCTTCAGAAGACCAGGAGACGTTCTACAGTTGGTGTCCGGGGCTCTCCGGAAACAAATTGCCTGATCCGTTTCATTGCTCAACAGCGAAGCCTAAAGAATGCTGCAAGATCTCTGTTGACTCAGAATTCCCCCTTTCAGGTATATTTCCTGACGTATCTCATGAATTTTGTGAAGGAAATATTTCACTCTATTTCTATTCAAGGGTTCTGCTTTCTGGCACTGCTCTGTTTGGATCTTGGGTTGGGGGTGGACTGCTTTCTGTGTCTTGCAGAATACAGGAGTCTCTTCAATACAGGGATTATGAGGTAACATGTGCTGATACCCAGTATGGCTATGGTAAGATTTAGTGGATCTGTGACTTTCTGCAGGGGCTTTTATTTTGTAAAATTTTCATAGAATGAGGAAAGTTCCCCACCCACAGTGTTTTTCTTCCTGTGGCTTCTCTGTATTTCTAGTGTTTTCATAACTGCTGGTTGGGCAGAGAAGGAAAAAAGGAACAAATGGCTTATCTTCTAGTGTATTTAGCTCTTTGTTTTTCAGATTTTTATCAAGTTTTTGCATGCCCCTAAAAGGTCAAATAATTGAAGGCTTGTTATGAAAGATATAGGTCCCACTTAGCACTGCAAAGGGCATCCATTATGATGTTGACCTCTTACTCTGGAATAATTCACTTCTGTTGTTTCCACCACGTTCTGCTTTCCAACATGGTCTGTGCAGGAGACAATTTCTTGCCTATTAATTACAACAGAACCTTGGGTTTTCCTGAATCTCTTTTGGAAGGCCCATGAAGTCAACTGTTTTTCTAATTTTACTAAATGTTATTTGCCTTTCCCCCCTAATGTGTTGATATCTATACTCAGGATGCAAAACTAGTGGTGAGTGGGATTACTGGCCTCTTAGCATGGCATCACACTATCATCATATTAGTACTTGCTGGGCAGTCACAGGAAATAATAATAGTTTTATTAAATATCTTTGAAGCATTAATAATGACAAACTTTGCTACATCCCATTCCTCAAATATTTTATGTAATGAAGTGGAAAGTCTACATGAAGCACTTGATAAGCTTCTAGAAATGTGTATGATTGAGTTGTGTGGGCTGACCTGGCTATTTTTTCATAGAACATCATTTTTGTTTGATGGGTCAACTGATAGAGAAGTTATGGTTTGTCAGGCTTGAAAATGCCAGGAATCGGCAATAAATCTACCACAGAAACTGAACCCTGTCTTACCAATAAAAAGGTTTGCATTTTAAGAGGAAATTATGATTTTAGAAAACATGTACCTGTGACTACACTTGACAACTTCTTGACTGAGCAGTGGGTATAACATAAAATACTTTGATACTGCCTTTTTTTAATGAACCACTTTTTGGAAAGTGAGTAGCTCAGAAAACTAGTATTTTCCAAATAATCAGTGCATGCTGTTACAAAACCTCTTGTAGGTAAGAGGTGTCCCGCACTGCAGAGTAGGCTGATAGACTCGTTTCTGTGTATCTGGGTCTAAGCGTATATGTATGGCCCAGAGGTTGACATCTGGTTTCTTCCTCCATTGCACTCTGCCTTAATTTTTGAGATAGTCTCTTTACTGAGCCTGAAGTTTTCCAACTTGGCTACACAGGCTTGCCAGCCAGTCTCTGGGATATGCCTATCTCTGTGTAACCTGCCAACACTGGGGTTACAGACATGTGTCATCATACCTGGCTTTTACATTGCCTCTGGGGATATGAACTCAGATCCGCATGCTTGTGTTGCAAACTCTTTGCTCACTGAACCAGCTCCCCAGCTCCTGAATCTAAAGATTTTATTTGAGAAATAAAATGCATGTATGTGCACCACATGTGTGTGGTGCCAACAAAGGTCAAAAAAGGGCGTCAGATCACCTGGCACTGGAGTTCCTGGGTTGTGAGCTCTGCACGGTGAGTACTAGGAACTGAGCCTCAGTCCCCTACAAGGGCAGCCAGTGCTGAGCCATCTCTCTTAGCCTCACCTCTCAATGTCTTAATAAATATTCTGTTGGTGTTTACTTCTGTGTTTTGGGTTCACTCCCCACAGTGGACAGTGGAAAAATTAGCCCTCTTTCTTCATATACTTCCCTTTCTCTCCAGCTTCCCAGTAGCTTGGTTATGTTAGCATTCGAGTGTTACAATAAATCTTTCCACCAAAAGCTGTCTGAGCCCCACCGCCACATGTGTGCTTTACACCAGCCACCTGCCCGAGTTAGGCCCAAATAAATACACAGAAACTTGTATTAGGTTCAATGTTGCTTGGCCAATGACTAAAATTTCTCATCTGTTAGCTCAGTCTGAATTATCATACATCTATATATTTTATAAGACTTATCTTATCAGACGCCTTGTTGGCGTTCCTCCTGGCTGGTGGATCACATCGTGCCGCTGGAGCAGGAGCAGAGGGGAAAAGAGAGCCCTTCCTGTTTCTCCTTCCCTTAAATATGAGTCTCCTTGCTATGTCACTTTCTGCCTGGATCATCACTTCTCTACTACATTTCCCAAAATCCTCTTTGACTCCTAGTCCCGTCTACTTGTTGTCTCATTGGCCAAACAGTATTTTATTTAAAGACCACAGACGGATAATATATGAACTCTAGAATTGACAGAGACTTCTTGCTACCTGGACAGTGACCCAAAGTTCCTCTTTAACATTGGGGCATCCATCTTTAGCCTATAGGCCACAGTGTGTCTGGCACACTTCTCCATTTTAACAG